CTGCAGCCAACATTGTCGAAAACGAAATAAATCAATAATCAATAATTAATAAATAAAAAATGCCTATTTTTAAATACAAATAATAAAGGCAGATTAAAATAGAATAAATAATCAAGGATTGTGCCTGGGTGGATTGCGTCTGCCCCAACACGCCGGGCGGCGTCGAGGATGGCGTCAACTCGCAGGTAGGATGAGGAGGCAGCGGGGCCGTCGCCGATGAGGACCGCCTCGTCGGCCGCTTGGACGAAGGGGGCATCTAGATCGGCCACTGAATGCACGGCCACGGTCGCGATGTCGAGTTCGCGGCACGCCCGCATCACCCGCAGGGCAATCTCGCCTCGATTGGCCACCAGCAGCTTGCGTATCGAGGTTCTTCGCCTCCCTTCCATCTTTTGTGTATGTTTTCTGTTTTATATCTTTTGGCTCATTTTTTTTTGTGCAATATCTGGGGTTACATACCAACTAAATGTTGTTGTGTTGGCCAATGCGGTGTGGAAGGCGATATTGCCCACGTTGGGTGGTCGTAGCCAATTCATTTGATACAGCACAGGCCCAACAAAGCCACACCATCAATTCCCTCGACTTGTTCGCTTCCGTTCGCGCCCAACGGAAACCACCGCTACAGTTCGTGTCCGGCACAGGTGCGTGCCTGCCACGGGCGAGACTGTGGAGTGATAATAGAAAACGAAGCAAAGAAAGACAAAGAGAAGACGAAGAAGACGAACTATCACCCCCCCCCAGCCGCTTGAAAGGAGTTTGCAAAAAAAGAACGGCGACACAGAAAGAACGAAAGCGAGGAAAGCCCTAACGATTATTTTTGGTGTCTACGCGTTCTCTGCCACTCCTCGCTTGGGCCGACTGATGTCGCGACGTGCCGACAAAGTAGCCATGCAGGCCATCAAATGTGTAGTCGTTGGTATGCCCCCCGGCCTATCAGGATGGAATGTAAATTAGTTTCAATTTTGATCCGATTTTTCGGGATTTGACACATCGACTGCTTTCCAGGTGATGGTGCCGTAGGTAAGACGTGCATGCTCATGTCCTTCGCCAACAACGTCTTCCCGCAAGAGTACAACCCCCCCCCTCAAAGTTGTTGGCCTGCCCGCCTCGTTTTCGTTCTTTTTGGCCGCGGGCCAAATTTTAGGTAATGAGCTTGTTAACACCTCGCCTTGCCTCTGTGTGTGGTGCGTCGCGACGCACACAGGTACATTCCCACTGTATTTGACAATTACAATACTGCTATAATGGTGGACGACTCTCCATACAACCTCGGGTCCGTCTTGTTCCTACTCCGCGTCCCCTTGCTCTTCCTCCTCAGCGCTGCTGACTTGTGGCGCTCGTCGCGGTGCGACGCAGGCTCTGGGATACAGCCGGTCAGGAGGAGTACGACAGATTGCGAGCTCTCTGCTACCCGCAGACCGACGTCTTCCTCATCTGCTTCTCCCTCGTCACGCCGAGCTCCTTCGAGAACGTCCGACTGCGGGTATTCCCATCCACCACGCATTTCTTTCTACATGTCTTACGCTCGCCGTGCGCGTGTGTGCGGTGGTGTGTGTGTGTGTGTGTGCTTGAGTGCTTGTGCGTGTGTCGAACCTGTAAGCCTCATCACCAGCTTCCGGTGTGGGCGATGTGTGAATTCCACAGTGGCAGCCGGAGCTGGCCACACACTGCCCGACTGTGCCATTCATCCTGGTGGGACTGAAGATCGATCTCAGGGAGGACCCAACCGCGCTCGAAACGCTCTACAAACAAAAGCTGTCGCCCATCACCACCGACGAGGTACCCTTCGCGCGCACCACTCGCTGCGGCGATTGCATTCTCACCGCGATCAAATGGAACCACTCCCAGGGGAGGAGGTTAGCCCAGGAGCTCGGCGCTGCGGCCTATGCCGAGTGCTCAGCCATGACACAAAGAGTACTAGCCCTTTCTTTTGTTTTCGTTTCGACCACATGTGGTTGCGCGTCACATGACTCTAACGTGTGTGGGGTGTGACGTAGGGTTTGAAAACGGTGTTCGATGAGGCGACGCGAGCAGTGCTCAAGAACAGGGCTGCGGCAGCGGCCGAGGAGCAGACCCGGCGGGACTCGGTGGCGGCAGCGGCCCCGCCGCCCAGCAGACCGCCGCCCAAGCAGAGCGGCTGCTGCCTCCTCAGCTGAGGAGGTTGTGGGACCAGCCAGATAATGCGCCGTAGGCATCGACGTGCGGAAGAACAAGACGAAAGCGAAAGCGAAAGCGAACGAGGGAGAACGAAGAAGACGGTGAAACATCAAGACGAGAGCTCTACCGGTACCAGGCGGGAGGGAGGCATGGATGGTGGAAAAGAGGGAGGTGTGATTTTTGGTGAGCGAACTAGATCACGAACAAACATGTATTATGTAAATACACTGATGTACTGGGCGTGGCACGAGTAGTAGCAAAGTCGCTGGTGGCCGCCGTCTCTTTGCTCCTCGAGCGTGAGCACGAAGCAGTTTCGTTCAAGGAACACGTTTCGTACAAGACTCGCGACACGTGTCATCATTTTCTCTGGATTTTTCATTTTGATTTTCGAACTCACACATCGATTGGATAGAGAACACGAAACTGATATAATTCATCGCTAGCACCTCCACCCCTCGCCTCCCCTTTCCACGAAGATATAAATAATGCAAGATCCCTTCTACGTTGTAAAAGAGTACGCTCCTTCTTCCGGCTTCATTTTGATTTGATTTCTCGGCTTTCCATTACATTTGATTGCCATCATCATTCGAGCGGCTTCTCTGATCTTTGCATCGTTTTTGCGTGTTTGGCTGTTGTGTGGTTGTGTGCGGTGTACGCGTACACAGGGAAGTGGTTCAGAGCGTGAATGGTGCGCGCACGTTGTACGGGCGATGGCAGGAGCTACTCGACACGACCAACACAGCGGAGGACGAGGAGTTCAAGTGGACCACCCACGAACTCAAGCGGGTCCTCAAGAGCATCGACTGGGACCTCCTCGACCTCGACGAAACCATCAATATCCTCTACTTCCCTTCTTTCTTCCCACACGACACGCACCGCACACACAACACACGCACACGACGCACACGCACACGCACGCATAGTCGTACGCGCGGTGAAGTGACCTTAACTCTGAGTCGTACGTATCGTGGAGGGCAATCGGGCCAAGTTTCGGATGAACGAGCAGGAGGTGGCCGACCGACGCAAGTTCGTCACCGACACCCGCGCGACTGTGGCCCAGATGAAGAAGGACATCGACAACCCCGTCACCCGGGCCAAGGTCGAGCGCGACCAACGCTCGGTACACGACCACGACACACACACACACGACACGCAAAGAAGCAACGCTACCGTGCGCTGTTGTGTTGACAATGCGTGGCGGCGACGCAGTCGTTGATTCCGACGACGATGGGCACACCGCGAACATCGAGGGAGAAGCTGGAGGCGGCCATACGCGACGACAACGAGGCGTTCATCCAAGCCCAGCAGGTCAGACAAACCGTACGTCCGCACCCCTTTTCTTTTCACTCTTACGCACAGTGCGTGTCGTGTGTCGTGCGTCTTGCGTGTGTCGTGCGACGTGTGCCGCGCGCGTGTTGTGTGTGTGTGTGTGTGTGTGCGATGAGCACTGACCGCATCGCATGCGTGATGATGATGATGATGTGATGATTAGCAAATGCGCCAAGAGGAGGAAGAGCACCTGGATCACCTGGAAAAGGGTCTGGGCAAGCTCAGCGAGATGTCCCTCACCATTCACGAGGAGCTCGAAGACCAGGACGAGTACGCACCTCTCCCTCCTCCTGGGCAGTCGTGTTCTTCGTCGGTGGCGGGTGGTGGGTGGTGGGTGGCTTGGGTGGTGGGTGGCCGGTTGCGGTCGACAGCCGCTGAGACCCGGGTGGCGGGTGGGTCTTTGTGGTTAGGCTGCTGGACAAGTTTCAGAATGAAGTGGCGTCCACAACCAACCGCGTGTCGGCCGGCATCAAGAAGATCAGCGAACTCATCGATCGTTCCAGCAGTACGCTTCGCCTCTCCCCTTCCTTGTACTCAACTGTGACCTCACCTGACGAG